CTCACCCCGACCCCATACCTTTCCTCCTTTGGTGGAACTGAAGTCCATCATAGGGTTTGTTTTCCTTAGATGGGTTGAAGGACAAACTTCTCTTTAGCAGTTACACTAATTTTCATATTTATCAGAAGAATCAAGGGAAAAAAGCTTTTAAAAACCCAGAGTGGCAGTTACATTGCACTTATTTACACCCACACGTACAGGCTTCTCTTCAGCATTTTGTTATTTTTTTTTCTCGCTGCTTATACAGTGTAGGTGGCCTTCTCCGGATTGCTTTCGACAGGAAATTGAGCAACTTTTCTTTTTTGGAACAGAATATATTTTACTGCTGAGAGAGGAAAAATGAAGTGTTTATGTTTTGAAGTTTTATGGTGAGTTTTTATTTAAAGATCAATTTAAATCTAGAAAAATGGAGGTAGGGGTTGGATTTCATATTGTGCACTAATATTTCTGAAGTTTCTTAGTAATTTTTGGGCCTCTTTTTGTAGAAAGAAAGGAAGGCCTGAAGGCTCCACCATTACTTTGCTTCGTAAAGCAAAAATTACTTTGTTTTGTTCTCTTAGCCATTGATGGGTATTAAGAAGTCATTGATTATTTTTCCAGCTTTTGTCTGAGGCCGCCTTCATCAGTTGTCTTCTTTCTGTGGTGGAAGTGTGATGTGATCAAATAGGCATCTTGAATCTAGAGTGTACATTAGCCCTACTTTTGGAAAAGCATGTCATTCAGTAAAGCTTCCTAATGACGTGGCAAGTACAAAGGGCCTGGAGACTGGGTAGGGAGCTCCATATTGGAGCCCCGTCTCTGCCACATGTTCTTCCTGGACTGCCAGTCCCCTAGTGCTTTGGAATATGAGTACCAGTCTACTCACTGTCCACCACCTACCCAGGCGCTTGCCTCTTGGGGTGCTTGTGCTTAAGTTTGATTACTTGGGTACTTCCTTTATAGTGCAGAGGACTGAAAGGAAGAAATCAGTCTATAATTAGAATATAATCCCATATGCCATGTCATAGAAAAGTTGTCCAGTTTGAATGACGTGATTCCGATGAAATCTTTCTAAGCGTGTTCAGCAATGATATCTTTTTATTTGAGTTTAGAATTGGCTTGTCTGTTCGTGTACCTACATGGATTACTAGTGCAAATCAGCTCTCAGGTATGTCTAATATATGTAATTAGCTAGTTATAGCTCATTAATTATGATTAACAAAGCAAAGTATGTATTTTGAGTATTACAAGTTCCTTAACCCATTCCATGGGTGCAACCTGTAGGCTAATCATGTAAAATCCACAAGTTTTATTATCAGAAAATTCTTCATAGGTTTCTTTTCCCCAAAGTTTTCTTCTGACGTTTATCCCATTTGGTTATGGTAGAGAAGAAAAGACCTGTCGCAAGGTCTTCTCAAGCTCCGTTCCGCTGTGTTACGTAAGATCACCACGTGCCACGTAAGACCATAATGCGTTACGTAAGATCATAATGAGGGGACATAGTAGGCCTCTAAAATCTCACTTTGAATGCAGTTCAAGTAAGTTTTGAAGTACCTTTTTATTTGGCTGAATAAAAGATGGGAGTCCCAATCTCTAAGGCGACAGGCTGGGAAGAGGAACTTCCCCTCTTGTGCTCACAAGGAATTGGGAGTGTCCGTGAGACTGAAGTTCTGGTTCTTCTGGCTCGTCTTAGCTTTCGTGTCTTATATGTTTGGGAGTTAATGTAGTTTGAAATAGTGTTTCACCTCAGCAAAAATTAAAAAATCAGTTTCTTCGAAGCTCTTATGGACATGTATAGTCTGATTTAATATTTTTAGAATAGGTACATGTACTGTAAATTATTTTTTTCTGGCTTTATTGAAATATAATAGATAATTAGTTGCTTGTATTTACACTGTACAATTCAATGAGTATTTTTCAATTATAGTTGGCATACAATAATATATTAGTTTTAGTTGTACAACATAGTGATTAGAGATCTATATAACCCACAAAGTGATCACCCCACTAAATATAGTACCCCTCTTCCCCCTTACATATTTATTACATTATTAACTATTTTTCTTCTGCTACACTTTATATCTCCATGAATATTTTGTAACTATCCATTAGTACTTCTTAATCACTTTGCCCTTTTTCATAGTCTCCCCAATTCCCCTCCCATCTAGTAGCCCTCAAAATATTCTCTGTATCTATGAGTTTATTTCTGTTTTTGTTGTTCTTTTGTTGTTTATTTTGTTCTTTAAATTCCACATGTACTTGAAATCATGCGATATTTGTCTTTTATATGACTTATTTCATTCAGCGTAATACCCTCTAGGTCCATCAAGGCAATACCTTCTTCCATCCCCTTCCTTTTAGTCTGTGTGTGTCTTTTAATCCAAAGTGAGTCTCTTGTAGGCAGTATATGTAGGGGTCTTGTTTTCTTATCCATTCAGCCACTCTATCTTTTAATTGGAGCACTTAATTCTTTTCCATTTGAGGTACTTGTTGATAGGAATGTAGTTATTACCATTCTATATTCCTGTTTTTGAAACATGTTTTTTCCTCTTAAAGAAGTCCCTTCAACATTTCCTGTAATACTGGCTTGGTGTTGATAAATTCCTTTAGCTTATTTTTGTCTAGAAGCTCTTTATCTGTCCTTCAACTCTAAATGATAGCTTTGCTGAATCAAGCATTCTTAGTTGTAGATCCTGGGTTTTCATCATGTTGAATAGTTTGTGCCAAGCCTTTCTGTCGTGCATAGTTTCTTTTGAGAAATCAGTTGCCAGTCTAGTGGGTGCTCCCTTTTAGGTAACTAACTGTTTTTCTCTTGTTGCTTTTAAGATTCTCTCTTTGTGTTTAACATTTAACATTTTAATTATGATGTGTCTTGACGTGGGCTTCTTTGAGTTCATCTTTTTTTGGGACTTTCTGAGCTTCCTTGCATTGTATGTCTATTTCCTTCACCAGGTTAGGGAAGTTTTCCATCATTATTTCTTCAAATAGTTCTTCAGTTTCTTGTTTTCCTTCAGGTACCCCTAAGACATAGATATTTTTACATTTAATTGTGTCCCATTGGCTCCTTAAATTATTATTATAGTCTTGGCTTCTTTTTTCTTGCTGTTCTGATTGAATGTCCTTGGCTTCTCCATCCTTTATATTGGTGGTTTGATCCTTTTCTTTATCCACTCTATTTATTCCCTCTAATATACTCTTCATCTCAGATAATGTGTTCTTCCTTTCTGACTGGTTGATAATTTCATTTTATAAGTTTATAATTTCCACTTCCATTTTCACGTTTTTTATCTCTTTGTTAAAGTTCTCACTGAATTCATTCACACTTCCCATAAGTTCATTGAGCATCTTTATAACCAGTGTTTTGAACTCTGCATATGTTAGATTGCTTGACTCCATTATTCCTGGATCTCTGTTCTGTTTCTCTCATAGGGTTTCTGATTCTTTGTCTTCCCATTTTGGCTGCCTTTCTGTGTCTGTTTCTATGTACTAAGTAAAGCTACTAATTTGCCTAGTCTTGTTAGTGTGGCTTTGTGTAGTAGGTGTCCAGTGGCACAGTCCTGAGAGGGGTTCAGCTTCAGGCCAAGTTTAGCTCCAGCCTGCGCCCCTCCAGGGCCACCTGTTAAGATTCAGTAAGCAATGCACAGGTGCTGTGCTCATAGTTGTCTCAAGAGGCGACGCCAGAAACCGTGGCCAGCTGCCACTAGTCTGAGTCTTGGCGCTGCTCAGCAAGGAGCACAGGACTCACCAGGGACACACCTGGATGTGGCTTGGGTAGGGCTGTGAGTTGGGGGAGGAGGAGTTTCAGGGAACCCGCTGGGCGGAGCAACCTCTTACCCAGTTTGATGACATCTCAGCTCTGGTGACACTGCGCCTGCACACTGGGAGGGGGAGGGCTCAACAAAAGAACAATGGGTACCACTGGCACTTCTGCTCAGGAGAGAGCCTCGCTTCCGGTCCTCACTCTCACAACTCAGTGTCCCCCCAATAAGTTGCCTCGTGCCTCTTGCGCAGCCCACTGGGTTCTGGTGCTCGGAGTGAGCAGGTCTCTCACTACAAAAGTCTGCTCGCAGACACGGCGCCTCCTACCTTCTACCATTGCAGATTGATTAATTATTTCTCTTTCTAGTTGTAGTGCTTCTGTTCATCTAGATTCCAGGTGACTTTGCTTGCTCTTTGTTCCGTGTTTCTGTCACAACTTTGATTTGGTTGCAAGAGGGATGAACAAAGCCTCTACCATGTACACCATTTCCACCCCCTACATGTCCTGTAAATTATCAATATTGGGCATGTCGGTGCATTCTTTTAACTAATAATAAGCTTAGCAGTCACAGGAAATGTGTATAATTGTAGTGGGAATTTACAGCCTATCTGAAGTGACCAGTATGAGAACTGTAGAATTTCTAAATCATCAGCATGGTTGGTTGCTTTCGAACAGGATTTCTCAACCTTACCACTCTGACATTTTGAGCCAGATAATTCTTTGTAGTTGGGGGCTGTGCTGATCATTGTACAATGGCTAGCAGCATTTCTGGCTTCTGCCCATTAAATGCATACCTTTTTCCCAACTGACAATCAAAAATATCTCCAGACATTGAAAGATATCCCCTGAGGTATACTGGTTTGGAACAGTGGTTCCCATAGGCAGGTGATGGGCCGACTACATTAAAATCACCTTGTTGGGGGGTGGGGTGGGCTTTAGCCAGAATCCTGGGTTTCTTCCCAGACTTCTTGATTAGATTATATGGGGGTGAGGACCTGGATCAGCTTTCTGTCTAGAGACTGAATAGTCAGGTTTAAGAATTTGTTGTTTTAAGTGGTAGTGGCTATTAGTCGGCTTAAATGCATGTTGAAATGCACACAGATTATAAATTAAAGAGGGTTTTAGAGGTAAAATATATCACAATTGTGACTTGATTTGTAACAGTGATTTTTCCCCCTTATTACTGTGAGATACAGTTGTATGTTTTTAAAAATTTGAAGATAACCTTATTATATTAAAGTTCATACTTCTTTTAATCTAGGCTTTGAGAGAATACCTCAAGTTGGACTCAAGGAAGATTTACTAACTGAAGTGGCAAAAGGTGAGTTGCTGGATTAGTCACAAAGTTGTGTTGGGGGAAGAGAATGTCACTCAAGTGTTCATTCTTAGAAGATGTGCTACTTATAGCAATATTTTGATTTAGCAAACGTAGACTCTGTAGTTTTCCCCATTGGTTCTTCCTCATTTGTTGTTTTACTGCTGAGAGGCATAAGTGGAAACGGAGAAGCGGGGAACTCCCGTGTGGTTTTTAGTAGTCATCTTTATAGATAAAATAGTTCAGGTATTTTTCTGGCTACTTAATAATATGAAGGTTTTTGTTACATACTTATGTTTCTGTTCCATATTAAATAACGTTTCAAAAAAACTTACATGTGTTTCTTAAAATTTGATGGGAGTTTATACCTCAACTCATGTTCTAAATAAGAATCTTGTTAACCCTGATGCATTAGTGTATAACTTGGAATGCCATGTTTATCCTGCAAAATAGAGGTGGTTGGATGATCTACTGTTTGACTGCCATTTACCACTGATCTTGGAGTGATTGCCCTCGGTTACTGCTGGGGAGACACCCACCCAGTCTCACTCTAGGCCTATCCTGATGTTTTAGTGGACATGTCTCAGACATTTTAATCAGTTGTCAAAAGATATTCTTATTGAGAAAAATAGCTGTTTCTTGGAAGTGGAGACTTTCCTATAGACTGAAAATGCTGTAATATGCTAAACTCTTAAATTCGGATAAAACAAGTGGTTTGGGGTTGTGTAGGTTTCATTTCATTTGTTACTTTGTATTTAACTTTCATATCAGCCAGATGCTGAAACAAAGACCTTGGGATTTTTCTTATCTGCTGCTTTATCAGAAGCAGAAGCCAGTTGCCTAAAGAGTCAGCTCTTCTGGAGTAGCTGCATCCTATCAAGGACACTCAAGGTTATCTGAGCATCTCACCCCTGCAAACTTTTGTGTAGAGTTTAAGGCTTCTTTCTGAAGCCCACTGGGTAATTGGAGCAGGGCTTTCAAAGCCTCGCTATTTCTGATCTTCCTTGAATTTCAGTAAGAGAATTAGAGAATGATTATCTCTGAAAATGTTTTTAAAGTACATTAGGACACTTCACTGGTAGCATTCATTTGAGCATATCCAGCATCATTCTTCTTTTAATAGAGGTGGAATCTAAGAAAGAATTTTGGATCTCTATAATTTTTAGCTACTTGAAAAGCCCACATTTTTTATTAGCAACACAGCTGAAAAACTGTATTTGAGAGTGTAATATCTTTGGAACCATCAGGAATTCCTTAGTGGTGAGCAAGCAGCCTGCAGGCATGCTCCATGAAGGTGGCCATAGCTCAGGTAGTTCAGGAAAGAAAAAAATCAGTGCATGCTGTTGAGCACCCTCTGGTTTTCACCTCAAACTTCCAAGTTATTTTCAGGATTGACTTTTTTTTTTCCTCCTGAGAACCTGTATACTATAGAAATGGGCGCCTTCAGTACAGTTTCTGTGTATCTTATAGTATTTTAGACGCTTAAATATTAGCTCCTGGTTGATATACTTCAATGTGACAGTTTTTAGCAGAGGCCTCTCACGTTTTAGGATTATTACAAGGCCATGCTTGTTTAGCTTTTATGTTGTAGCGGCATTACCTTGTCTTTTGAGTTGCTTAGTTTAATAACCTGAACCCCTGGGCACTTAAATCACTTCTTTTAAATGGTGGTAATATCTGGTGATGCTAGTACTGTAGATCTGTTAGATCGGGTGGGAGATTCTTTTAGGCATTCCTACTTGCCCAGCCCTATCAGGCAACAGACAAGCGGGCCACGATTGAACAGTTTTCCAGACCTGCTGGTGGCATGACTCTTCCCTTGGCATTCTAAATACGTACTTCTTTCCTAAGTGCTCTTTCTCTTCTTAGAAGATACCCAGAACAATTCTCTCCCTCCAAAAGAAAGCAAAAAGACAAAAAAAAAAAAAAAAAAAGCACAAAACCTTATACTTTCTATGTAGTTCTATATGTATCTTATTAAATCACACTTAACACCTTTTTATTTTTTTATTTTTTGAGTAACATTGTTCTAGAATATAAAATTGAATTAAGGAAAGCACACTTTTTACTCCTTTCAAAAAATTTTTAAATTGCTTTATTCTTTGTAAACATCTAGCAAGAAACATAGAGTGATGTTAATGGATAATGATCTCTGACTAACTTATGTGCTTTATTCATTAAAAAATGAGAATGATTTTCTCAAGAATTTTTGCTTTGGATTTTCTCTTTTTTATATAGACAATTATGTACTCATAGGTAGATGAGATATTTTTAAAATTTTCTCTTATTTCAGTTTGGTTATTGCATCCCAGGCTGCTTATTTTAATGGGAGAGTCATTGAGGAAATTTTAAGAATTTTTTTCTTAAAAAAATTTATTCTTTTCTTGAAAATAAAAAGAATAACACGAGTCACATTTACTTAGACTAATGGTTTGCTGATATAATAAACAAAAGTAAATATATACTTTTTGGTGTTTTCTGGGAAGTTTGAACCATTCAGTAAGTGAAAAAAGAAAAGAAGAAAATGCATGTTCGTATATCTCCTAGATTTGTGTTATATGTAGTGTTAGCAAGAATCCTAATAATCATAATGCCTTCCGGTGGCCTGGACATAGAATGACTGTGGCAGATTCAGAGGTCAGTTAAAAAACAGAAGCCTGGAAAGCTTTTCCTCCCTGGCCATCCAGCCTGTGGAACTGTGATCTGACCCTCATGTCCACTGATGGGACACACTCTCTTTTTTCCTCATTATTCTGACAAATTATTTCTTCCTTAAATTAAAACAGAACAGCTGTTCACATCTAATACAGTTTTCTCTTTAAACGTAGTCTAGTGACGAATACAGTAGATTAACTAATAATAGGATTTTGAATATATTAACTCTAAAAAGAAAATAACTCAAATGTTCACCTTGAGTAGACTTTATTAGATTCTTTGGGACAACCTAAGTTGAAGTTTCATGGTGGCACCGAGGGTACAAAATAGAGACAACTTTTTAAGATAAATGCCAGATGAAATTTTATGAACTGCATGTTAACTATAATATGAATGTATTAAAAATTTGCAGCAAAAGGGATGACTGCAGAGTTTTCCTTTTATCTTTGTCCATGACCAATTGGAATTGAGTTTGGCATGCCTCGAGGTCACCTCAGAATTATTTCGTTACGCTTATTTATTATTCAAAGCCTTTTTTGTTCTTAAAAAAGAAAATTATATGCAATCCTTCGGCCTAGCAAACATTTTTACCAGCCTGTAGCACTGTGTTATCACCCCTTCATATTTACTAATGCTGTCATACCCTTTTTCTCTTCAATGAGAACAACTTATTCTCACCGACTTCTTGCCTTTATGTTCTTCAGAACAGAAGAGTACAGATGTCCACTTTAAACAGAGTTGCCTCATTTAAACTCAGTCTGGTGCTGAACAGAATGCATGGTAATAGAAATTGAATTAAGTTCTTAGAGGAGTACCTTATTTCTTAGTACATATCTGGTCATTTTTGGGGCCCAGGATGTGTACAGATGATTCTTTGTAATGATACCATGTGACCCAATTTCTTGACTGTCTAATTAAAATTTGCAAATAGGAGTGATTTGAACAAAAGCCTAAAATAAGGAATCAGAAAATAGAGAAGCAAGAACGTGAACTGTGTGTGCAAATGTGGGTGAAGGTCACGGTGAGAATTGTGCAGAGCTCTGCCTCATCCCCTCCTGCTCCTACCTGCCTTGATAAGTTGGGTGTGTGATATTTTTGAGGACCTGGATTTTGGGAGCAGATCACAGGGGGCGACTAGAGATGAAACTTGGGTGTAGCCTGCATCTGCCAGTTCATGATACACTAACATTTCTCAAAGGGCTTGGGGAACATCGTGGTGGGGGTTTTATTTTAAAACCTGGACTTTATTTTAATGTTTGTCAATACCAAAACATATTTTACATGTAAAAGGAAGTTATACATATCTTCACTGGTATTTGAGTGGCTTTCATCAAAATCACGCATGCAAAATTAAGGCCATATTGTAGGTGAAGTCTCATGTGTAGGCAAGTCCAATATGCCATGTTTTGGAGGTCTTGGTGCCCCAGGGAGGAGATTTCATTGTGTTTTTTTGGAAATGAATTTTAAGCAAGAGAATGTAGAGAGGAATAGGTTTGAAGAAAGCTACTGCCCACATCTGCACAAAATGTGCCAAGGTCTCCACTGAGTCGATGATAAGGAAAACACGAGAGATGTGGGCCTGCAGCCCTTCCACGTGGCATCAGCCTCTTCGGAGCAGGGGCTATTTCCCGAACCATTGTTTGTCTCAGAACATGGGTAGCTCTGTGTTTGCCCTATAATGGTTTTCTTGATAAAAATGGACTGATGGGTACTCTGGATGAGTCTTCAGTAGGCTAAATAATGAATGGTCGCTGAAGATCTAATGGACTTTGATTTTCTTTTCAGGGAGTCTTTTTTTTTTTTTTTTAAGTCTATAACTTAATTCAGTAAATGACCCTTTTCTGCTACTGACTGATGTGTTTTTTTTCCCCAGTCAATTGGAAAATAAATGGTTTGAGAAATCGACTAGGTAGCATTCGATGGGTATTGGTCTTTGTACAGGGGCCTCTGGAAATGTTCTAGCCTTAAAGCTTTTATAGTTACAAGAAGTAAGATATTCTACTTCTGTTGCCACTTATTTCCTCCCTGGATTTATTAGTGGAAAAGTTAATTCAATTAAGTAAATAACTATTTGACACCTATTATACAGAGAGAGCTTTTTTGCTTAGTATTGACTAGGATAGAAATACAAAAAAGAAATGCCCCTTGTAATCGAGCTGTTTTTCTAGAACAGGAGATAAGACATCATTAAAAATTATAATAAATGACCCAATATAATAAGGCCTTTAGTGGAAATAAAATGCATTGAGGCATCTATAAAGGGAGAATTAAATCCATGGAGGTGGCATCGTTGGAAATGGGCATTGAAAGATCAATCAATACGTTACTAAAAGAGGAACATGGTTTCTCTA